CTCAAACTGTAAAGTATGGCACTAGCAATGCCATGGTCATGGGTTCGATTTCCAAGAAATGCTAAAAGGATGAAGAATGAATGAATTTTTAATGCAATGTACTGTATGTCACTTTTGATAAAAGTGTCTGCCAAATGCATAGATGCAAGTAAACTGTGTTTCAACTATTTGCGACGGTACAGCCCAGGCAGAATCTATTATGGGAGAAAATCTGCTGAATGCTTATTTAGTATTTAATGCAAATTTATTAAAGGGGATCTAATATGGTATTTTGTTTTTGGGGTCTACTAGAATAGGTTTTCATACACACACCAAAAAACACCTTATTTTTCAGAAAGTGCAACATGCTCTGATTGGTCAGCTGGACTCGTGTGTTGTGATTGGTCAAGTGCTTCGAGTGTTTTTGGGAAAACTCAGGACTACAATGGAGGCGTTTCAGGGAGTTCAGGAACAGTGACACTGATATAGAGAATAACTCCTGCTGGTATAATAAGACCTTTTTTAGACTCAAACAGCAACATTACACACTAAAGAAAAGCATTATAGGAACCCTTTACAAGGAATAATATAACTAAGAATACTATCTTATTGGAAGCTGAAAGCATTAGGAAATAATAAAAATCAGTTGATGCAACTCATTATAAAATAACACCTTAGAGTTTGGCATGAAACGGTTGATTCGATCCCGGGCTTCATCTGCCGCGTGCTCCACCAGTGCCAATACGTGCTCCTCCGCCGTGCTGTCCGTCAAACTGCAAGCGTTGCCCTCTAGCTCATACATATCACTACACAAGCAACACATCGGCTCAATCACACACTCAGAAACATCATGTGAAATGTTCAAAAGTGCTGCAGATCAACAGCCCTTTACCTGATGATGGGCTCTTTGATGGGCTGTTTTTTGGATTTTTTGGGGTATTCCGTGTGGATTGGCATGATCTCCGTCACCGGTTCCTCAGGTGTGATGTCATCATCACCCAAAATGGCAGCCTGCTGAGAGAAATCCATGTCCTGCATAAAAGACATGCTGCGCTTCAAAGCTAACAGCCGCTCCTGTGAACAGAGCACAAATAGAGCAACACAGCATCCATTTACTCCTCCTGCGGGAGGTCTTAGGTATGCCATGAAGATGGGAGTCGAACACGGGATGGATAAATAAAGAGTTTGGATAATGGGAATACTTGTCTCTGAACCCGCAGAGCACTCGAGCCAAATTGATCACGTCGACTGCCCAAAATGAATCACCTTACTAATGCAATAAAACAAAGGAAGGGACTGACGCGCCATTGAAGAATTTTTTTTCTCTCCATGTAATCCTGAAAGAAATGAACAGTTTTAGAATTTTGAAGAAGAAAAATTTTTTGGGGAGAATTTTTTTTAATTATTTCTAGGTCACAAAGAGCAACATCTAGTCAAAAAATAATTCCTTATATTATATTATAACACAATGCATAATAACATATTAATAATTTTTATTTATTATAAAAATTATTTATTATATGTTAAATATTATTAATATATTATTATAATATATATATATATTAGGGCTGTCAAACGATTAATCGTGATTAATCGCATTCAAAATAAAAGTTTGTGCTTATATAATACATGTGGGTGCACTGTGTATAATTATTTTATATATATATATATATATATATATAAATACACACACATGCATGTATATTCAAGAAAAAAATATTTATATATAAATTATTTATATTTATATATATTATAAATTATATATAAATCTATATACAGTATATACATGAAAATATTTCTTAAATATATACAAGCATGTGTGTGTATTTATATATATATAATAATTATACACAGTGCACCCACATATATTATGTAAACACAAACTTTTATTTTGGATGCAATTAATCGCGATTAATCATTTGACAGCCCTTATATATATATATATATATAAAAATATAGATTTTATAGATTTTTCCCATCACTTTTTAAGATTTTATTAAATGCAAATAATTTTCCAGGCCTTTAAAATCCCTTGATATTTCCGACCGGGGGAATCCGGAAATGTTCTTGCTTCCATTCACAGAGCGTCACAAACGTTCTTGAATCTTGATTTTTATCCTGATCATGCTTCCGAATCGAATGGTAATGATGACACGCATGAACTGGACGATGTACAACAAAGGCAAACAATAACAAAAACAAAGTGCATTAAAAATGTTACTTTGCTCATCATTTTGAATCCCGTGTGGAGAAGTTTCTTGGCGGCCTTGTAGTAAACCGTCTCGGGTCGGTTATAAACCATGGCATTGTCACACATCAGCTTGAAGTCGGCCTGGAGATGTCAAACCCACAGATTCAGATACAAAATAGTCACATTGTAAAAGAATGTCATTTCAGTGGACAAAAATACATTAGTGGTTCCAAGAGTCTGAAAACGAAGATTGTAGCCGGACACGTGCGTACCTTGAATTCTGTGATAGTTTTGTATTCATTCTCAGCAATTTTGTCCTTCATCGTGCTGAAGTCCATAGGATGTTTGATTATCATGGAGTAGCCCGGTGCAATAGCATCTGTTACAGGGAAGGAGAAGAATCCATGTGGATCTTTCCTGTTGAGACAGAAAGATTGTCCTCATATATTCCAGATTAGATGACACAATGCCTTCTGCTTTTCGCAGGGTCTCACCTCTGAAGCAAACGCAGGAAATGCTCCAAGAGCTGCTGGCGAGGGGTGGATTCATTTTCTAGGTAAAACCAAAAGGTAAAAAGACAATCAACAAGAAACATTATTTGAAATCCATTCATGATTTGTCTTATAATACCAGTTTAATTGATACATTTGTAACTGAGTCTTCAGAATTGTACAATTAATTAGAATTTAAGGAACTATAGTAAATAGTATATAGTAAAACATTCCAGGATCTTTATCTATTTTTTAAATGAGCGATCGTTTCGCTTGATAAGACCCTTATTCATCGTCTGGTGTCGTTTAAAGCCCTTTGAAGCTGCACTGAAACTTGGACCTTGAACCGTTTGGACCCCATTGAAGTCCATTATATGGAGAAAATCCTGGAATGTTTTCATCAAAAACCTTCATTTCTTTTCGACTGAAGAAAGAAAGACGTGGACATCTTGGATGACATGGGGGTGAGTAAATTATCAGCAAAGGTTTTTTTTAAAAGTGAACTACTCCTTTAATGTATTAAATCATTTATTTAATCTAATCTAGTTGTACCTTGTTGAGTTCGACAGGCTCGTACGGGTCGATCCGCTTGCTGTTCCACTTCTACTTTCACTCCAGGATGAAATTCATCTGCCTCTGATTCCGATTCAAATTTGTCCCGCTTCCTCTTCTTCTCCTCTAGAACCACCTGTGGCAATACACTCCTTTAGTAACAGCACTCAACTAGCCTCAGGATACTCACACAGGCGTTCAGTGCCTTACCTCCACAGGCTTCGGCAGGGTGAACGGTTCCACTGGTCCACTGGCGGCACTTTCTGACTGCTCTCGCTCACGTTTCTTCTTTTTCTCCTCCTGGATGAAAAACACACACAGAATTTGTAAGATGAATATAATAAGATTTTTTTTTTTTTTTACATTTTCTGAAATAAATGTGACTGCTTTTTGTCTGACTTCTGAGTGTTTAAGAGTCGTTCTTTTCTCTCACCTTTCTCCTCCTCCTCTCATCATCATCTACGTATTTCTCCTTCTCTGATTTCTTCTTCTTCTTCTTTTTCTTGTCTTTGTGCCGCTCCCACTCGTGGTCAGAGCGGTCGTCATAGTAACTGGAGTCATGTCCGGAGCCGGAGAGCTCGGTCACTTCACTGCCGCCCACCTTGAGTACCAGCTTCAGGGGTTTATCCAGGGGTTTGTCCTCATAGTCTGAAAAACGACACACAAAACCATTAAGAGACGATCTTAAATTAAAGTGTTTGTTTTTTTACTATGCATGAATGTTATAAGCATTGAAGTTAATGACATTTCTGCTGTTCTGTAACTTCTCATTAACCTGCAGTAATATGCTACATCATTATCAGATCAAACCCACACTATCACTATAATCATTTAGACCAAGGGGTTTCAAACTGGGGCCTGAGGATCGCAAAGAAGTGCTAACAAGTGTATTTTTTTTATACAAATAAATAAAAATAAATGAAATAATTATGAAAATAAATAAAACATTTAATTAAAATAATAAATATGAAACGGTAAATAAATATATAATATCAATTAAGTTTAAACTAAATAAATAAAAATTGAAATATAACATTTTACTAAAATAACAAATAAATTAATAAATAATACATCTAACAGTGAACAGAAAAAAGTAATAATGCAATATATTACTAAACTAAATATTTTAATAATTTACAAATTACACATTTATATGTTACAGAATAAATTACGAGAAAATGAAAACAGATATAACTGCCTTTTAAGTCTTATGATGAGAATGATCATATTTGTGGGGTCCGTAGCATCTAAAGATCGAAAACCACGTATTTATACAACGCCCAAATGAAACAATCATTCATTATAAAATGTTGTGTGGTTTTGCATGAATAAAACCATATCGCATTCACTGACTAGTATTTACGCACTTGCAGAACACTCAGAATGAATTAAAGTGATTTTCACATCCAATATTCACCTCCTTCAACCGCTCTCCACTCGGGTCTGTGTTTCTTGTGCTTCTTCCCCATATTGTGTCTTTATTTGTATGAAAAATAATCTGGTTTAATCTTCAGAATCTGCGTATTTTTGTCTCACTGCCACTCGTCGTTACAGCAACAACAACATTAGCTGCTACGCTTAACTTCCGGCTTCAGATGGCGTCGTTTCCGTCGCAGGCTGGCGTGACGTCACCGTCCGCGCGGTAAGTTCGAGTTTGTCAGTCGCTGTTGTGAGAGGTGAGTGTGTTTAATTTCACAGATCTTTTTTTCTTTATTTAATCGATCTGTCAATAAATATGACAGTTAACACAATCTACAATTATAATATGAACGTAAAATCCATTCATGCTCTTCGTTATATGATTCGCGCGTGATGTTTTATGATAATAAATGCCGTGTTTCAAAACAGAAGGTATGTTTGGATGTTTAAATAAAGTTGGTCTATATTCTAACAGAAAAATTATCCCATGGTGCATTGTTATTGGTACGTGGTAGCTAATGCTATGTAATGACAAGGTGTTTTCGGTGGTTGCTTGGAGGCAGATTAACAAATATGTCAAGTTACACTGTAAAAAATGATTTTGACGATTTGTTATCACAACTTCTGTTGTCAAATCAACTTGGATAATTATTGTGGTTCAAAGTTTCTGTTAATTAAACCAATCTCAACTGTATTAACTGAAATTCTTAATTTCAATTAGCTCAATTTTAAGGCAACCATTTTACTTACTTATTTTAAGTTAAACCAACAACAACAGTTGTGAAGAGTGATTACTAAGGGCTTTGTTTGTTATATAAATCGTTACATCATATTTGACGTTTATAGATTTTTATAGCTTATGTATATATAGTTCTTCTGACTTTGATTTTTGTTTTTCAGTCAACAGCACTTTGAGTAATGGACATTTCTGATCATCACATGACTGAAGTTGCCATCATCTGCCCTGATGTGCACATAGAGGTTCATGTGAAATCTCAGAGGTATTTCATAAGTGAATGAACTGAATAGGATGATTAGACTCTGATTTAGTTGTTACAGAATGCATAACGTTTAAGTCATAAAATCAGTTGCATAATCAGATCGGTAGTTAATGCATGTGAAATATATTTTGATATAAGTCACATTTCTGAAGCAAGTAATGGGCTGTGAGTTCTGTTTCATGTTGACATTTGCCTTTGCATGATTTAAAAGGTATAAATATGTGTTTGCAGCATAGCCAAGAGGTCTGACGTGAGGACGCATGTGCTGTCGCTGCTGGATCGACACAGCTCGGTTTTAAGGTCATTCAAGTGGACGGAGTTTGATGACGAATTTCTAGCCAAAAATGTGGAGTCAGTCACCATTGGAGATGTAGCTGGTCCGAAAGTAAATAGTTAATTTTTTTTACATCCGTGTACATTCTGCTTTATATTTTAAAGGGGGTGTTTTACGTCATTTTTCAGTCTGTGGATGTGATATTTCTGATGTGTTCCACAGCTTGTGGATCTGAAGGTTCACAACCTCTGTATCCATGTGTTTTCCCTGAATGATGACAGTCCGAGCACACTCACTCTGGAGGAGGAGGAGGAGCTATCCGCTGCCAATCATTGGCTTCTCCCAGCTGGTGATTATCCATGACACGCCCCTTTCAAGCACATTCACAAATCCCGCCGTACGTGTTACTACATGTTTTTACTGTAGTATGCATAATTAACCCTAAACCAAACCCTAACCGTATCTCTATAGTAAGTACATGTAATACATTAAAATTACTAAAAGTTAAGTATAATGTATTTTACGACACATTATAAATACCAAAATAAAGTGTAACCAATTAAAATTCATTTGTTATTTTCTTGTTCCAAATCTCTATGCTGTTACTTTGTGATGATTTTGTTAAAAAAAACTTTTAAATCTGTTTAAATCTGAAAGTTTAAATCTGCATCTGCTTTTATTGTGTATCAATAGCAGCTTAAACATTTTGCCTAAAAGATGTTGTCCATTTTAATAATTGTTTTTAAATTATGAATGTTTGAAATAACATGGGTTCGTAAAACAATGACAGAATTATATTTCTTTTTTGCATGAACTGTTCCTATAAAAATGGTTACTTAATCGAGGGTCCATTCTTTCCTTTTTTTTTATCCTGAACATGGTATACATTTTCCCATACACACGCATATTTACAATCAGGAGAAAACAAACCTAAGTATCAGAGTTCATTGTAGAAAATTGTTTTATTCTGTTGATACTTTTGAAAAGATGTTTAATCCAAATGTAATTTTTGGGACAAATGTGTCTCATCTTATTTAGTTTCTGTTTTTAATTTTTAATAACTCAAGTATTGTTTTCGCCATTAAAAATAGCCGGGGAGCTAGCGTGACATGTAAACAAATAACACATTGTGGTCTGACCCATGTTTAAGACTTACAACATCTTCATCTTTTTCTTCATTACTTCCAGCTGAGTTTCACGGCATTTGGGAGAGCTTGATTTATGAGGATGGCATCAAAACACAAGTAAGACCTGCATATTCATAGTCATCTTGAAATTATTTGAAATAAATGAGCAGAATTATGCTTGTTAGCTGAAGTAGGTGGTATAACCAAAATCTTATATCACAGTAGAGGTCATATTATATACTGTATATATATTGCATGTTGCATTTGCATAATGCATATAAATACTAACATGTACATATATATGAATATTTGGTCCATTTCCTTGGAAAAGAAAGATTTAAATCTGCCTGTCTATTAAAAGACAGAGTACAGTTGCATATTTGAGCGAAGAGACTAAAATCTATTAAACATCAATTATAACTGTATGTATAACAATGTTAGGGACACGTTATTCTCCATATCCTCCAAATGATAGTCATGCACACACAGCAATTATCAAGCATGATTGCAAAATCTTTACCGGTTGACACATTTCAACGCCCATCCCTACTTGTTGGCATCCCATAACATGATCTTTGTCTTTACTTTGGTCTCCAGCTCTTGGATTATGTTTCGACAACAATTTTCTTCTCTGACAAAAATGTTGACAGCAATTTAATTGCCTGGAATCGTGTCGTGTTGCTTCATGGTAAGACAATAAAAGCTTGTTTGTTAGCTCAGCAATTTCTGCCTTCATTGAACGGCTACCATGTTTACACAGTTGCTTTTCTCTCATAAACCCTCAGGGCCGCCTGGCACCGGGAAGACGTCTCTATGTAAAGGACTGGCTCAGAAACTCTCCATTCGACTGTCTGGCAGGTGTGGCATCTTTCATAAATTACAAAAAGGCTGCTGCTGAACATACTGAATTCATCACCATTGTTCCTCAGGTATGCGCACAGCCACTTCATGGAGATCAACAGCCACAGTCTCTTCTCCAAGTGGTTCTCAGAGGTACAGCTTGATCCGTCACATCTGAAACACTTCCTCAGATCCATGTCTGAAACGCTGTGAACACACGTGCCTGTTTTACAGAGTGGAAAACTGGTCACGAAGATGTTTCAGAAGATCCAGGAGCTCATTGACGATAAAAGTGCCCTGGTGTTTGTCCTAATAGATGAGGTACTCTCCTTTTAAAGGGATAGTTCACTTTGAAATAAATTTTTGGTATGTTTCAGCTTACCTCAAGAGCATCCAAGATGTAGGTGTCTTTGTTTCCGCAGTAGTTTCAACTTTGATATTTTAAGGTCAAACCGTTCTTGTCTGTCAGTCATATAATGGAGGTCTATGGTCACCACCTCAAAGAGCATGCACAGAGAAGTCCAAATTAAACATGTCTCGTAAATGTAAGTACACATTGATGGCCTAAGACACGAAACGAGCGGTTTGTTGTGACCTCAAACCGATATAAATATAACAGTTTGTTTAGTCAATTTGCATCAGGGTATAATTTGGAAAAATGTTGCAAAATTGCAGCTCTGTTACGTTTAAATAGGCAAACGAGACATTATCTAATTAAATATGCACTAATTTGTGGATACGTTTCCAGAGGATATTTTGAGTGTATTATTTAAATCTCCATAAATCATAAAATACTGCCAACAGGCAGAAAAAAAAATCACCATGTTTTAAAATTAAATAAATATGCAATATATTTTACCACTGTTTTTTTTTTTAATACAGTAAGTGAACATTTTAAATTCACAACACTGTTCAGCACGCAAATGTATTTAAATCATTATATACTTTCATGAAAAGTTAAATAAGTGGTCGCAATTTTAATACTGTAATAATATCAAAGCATGCTTCAAATATAGTAATTTTAATACCACTTAATTAAAATAAATATTATATATGTATATACTTGTTTGTGTGAGTAGGTTAGTTGCCAAATACATGTTTTCTACATAATACAATTCAGCTGGCTGGTGCTATTCTGTGTGACTTGAGCAAGCTATGATTATTTAATATGCATTTTCCCCCCCACCAAAACTTGTAATAAATTTCTTGCTACTGTATATACTCATATTTAGTGAAAGTTAGGTATTATTACATTGCAATTGTGCTCGGCTGGATCACTGAGGGTTCATTAATGCTTGTTTGTCAGGTGGAGAGTCTCACAGCTGCTCGGAGCGCGTCCCAGGCAGGAACAGAACCGTCTGATGCTATCAGGGTGGTCAATTCTGTCCTGACCCAGCTCGACCAGATCAAACGGTCAGTTTCTCTTCATCTCTGCTGCACTTTCATCTACAAAAGCATGCTTGAAATCAAAATGACTATTTACTTAATGCATATTGCTGCTCTTATTGGGCATTATTCATCGTTGAGGTTTTTGCAAATAAATAAATAAATAAATCTGTTTTTGTAGACTTCCATCAAAATATAATGACCCGTTCTGCCATATTTGTCCTTTTCGTCTGATGCCATGCTGCCCTCTTTTCTTGTGCCATTGAATAACCTGATCCATATTATGTCAGCTTAAATTGGGGCTTCCTGTGCAACTTTTCCTGTTTCCTTGATTCAGCCACTCAAATGTGGTCATCCTCACTACATCCAACGTCACGCAAAAGATCGATCTGGCCTTTGTGGATAGAGCTGATATCAAGCAGTACATCGGCCCACCGAGCGCCAACGCCATATTCAACATCTATCTGTCTTGTCTGGAGGAACTCATGAAGGTGAGTGTGTGTTCAGCTCCATGAATCGTTGAACGTCTCCATTCCTCCACTGACCTCCGCGATTCGGATTTGATCTTTCCCTGCAGCGTCAGATCATCTACCCCAGACAGCAACTGCTGAGTTATGAGGATCTGGGAACCATGGACTTCAAGGAGAACGAAGTGACCCGTCTGAGCTTAAGCCTGAGGAACATCTCCCAGTGAGTGTTTGCTGGTGACGCAACCAGTATTGAAAGTCTTTGAGAATCGATATTTCACAAGTGTCTCTTTCTGGACAGGAGGAGTGTGGGACTCAGTGGAAGAGCTTTGAGGAAAATCCCATTCCTGGCTCATGCGCTTTTTGGAAAGGTACTCGTCTTTGGACAATGATATGTGATTTTTCCACAAATATGGGGTGTTGTTAGTCTAAAATCCTTAAGTGTGGTAAGTAAGGGATATCCAGCCAGTTGTTATCAGAGTAAACCTCGACAGGGTGATCTTGCCTGAAGGGGTTTATTCTGAGATAACGACCGGCTGGATGTACGTTAGTAAATAATTAGATGAGAAATATTGGTTTGAGTTGAAATAATTGATTAGCTATTTAAACGCAAAAGCAGTTGCTAGCAAACGGCAAGTTCAAAATAGACAGAAATTTAAGGTTTATACTGGAAAATTGTGAAATACTCAGACACCAACAACCATGCCACCCTCAAAATTGCTTAAAACACCTTTCTGACATTCAGTTTGGGGTTCAGGAGATTGTCTTGACCAGGACCACACCCCTAAATACATTGAAGCAACTGCCATGTGATTGGTTGATTAGATAATTGCATTAATGAGAAATTGAATAATCCTTTAGGTGAGTGTCTAATTCTAGAAAGTGTATGGTTGCCAAGCAATTTAAGACTGGTCAATCGGGTGAATGTTTTAACTAATAGACATCACCATACTTCCTCACAATACATTAGGTAAATTGTTTTGTATTACAAGTTTTCTGAAAAGTTATTTTAAATAGAATGTGATTATGGATGAAATGTTCTTTAAAATCAGCCGAATGACGGATGAACAAACCCTTCTGTAAGACCCTTCACAATATATATATATATATGAGAATAAAACTGTTAGGTTTGGTGTATGTAAAGCGGCTGAAGTGGAGATTTCTGAGGGAAAAAAAATCACCTGGATTCTCAAATCTACAAATGCATATAGATAAAAATGACAGACTAAAATGCATGTTTGATCTGTTTTAACTGAAAGCAACTTGCACAAACATATCTTAAAATATGTCAGTATTATTGTTTTGTCTCAAGATGCACACCAGTAATGTGTTTTCTAAGGCATGTTTATAAAAGCTACTTAAAGGGATACTCCACTTTTTTTGGAAATAGGCTCATTTTACCACTCCCCCAGAGTTAAACAGTTGGGTTTTACCGTTTTCGAATGTATTCAGCCGATTTTCTGATATTTAGAAGAATATCAGTAACCAGACAGTTTCTGGTCTCACTGACTTCCATAGTAGGAAAAAAATATACTATGGAAGTCAATAAGACCAGAAACTGTCTAGTTACTGATATTCTTCTAAATATCAGAAAATCGGCTGAATACATTCGAAAACGGTAAAACCCAACTGTTTAACTCTGGGGGAGTGGTAAAATGTATTTTAAAATGTAAAAATATTTCCCCAAAAAAGTGGAGTATCCCTTTAAATGTCGCAATTGAACTAAGGCCTAATCCTGGCTTAATCTAAGACCTGTCTGTGAAACCAGGCCAATGTGTAAAAATAAACACGTGAATGTGCGTTTAGGTTATTTTCTTTCAAATAGTCTGAAAGAGTTATTGCAGCAAAATAACAAAAAATAAATAAACTTAGAATTGACCAGTGCATGAAAAAACAATGGTTTGAATATACAATTTACTCTTTGTTTTTGTTGTAATCTGTTTCCAGACTGCCACAATGACAGTCGAGAGTTTTCTAAAAGCGATGGGCCGTGCCGTGGACAAACAGAGACAGGAACAGGCCAGTTTGGTCAACTGTGTTTGAGCTGAAGCAAACTGACGTTCTGCTGTCGAATCGAAGCGGTTTCTTGTTTTTTGTTTGTCAGTTCAATATTTCTGCTCTGTTCACCAGCTTCATCCTCTGAAAATGTCCTAGAACAAACCAGTGTTGTTTAATTTCAAGTTTGAAAGTTAAAAACCGCACTTATCTATATGAGACTGTCATCTTCTAGATGGTATTTCTCAAGTCCGCATTTATGATTTAAATATATAAACATATACATTTAAATGATTTGATTAAAATGAGAAAATTAATTCCTTTTGTTTTTTGTTTATTTTTTAATTTTCACAAGAAAAAAGTTATATATATAGAACATTTTAGGGGTTCATTTTATGGATTTCGTTTTTTTAATCATTTTTATGAATTAAACGGTTCATAAGCATACTTTAACACTAGGAAAAAATTAAATAACTTTTAAACATGAAACTATTATGCAAGACATCATTAAAGGACTTATAAGTTCTTATTTGGCAAATTGAGTCAGGAATTTTTTTTAAGAGTCTAATTTGTAAATTGCATCCAGTAGGTGGCATAAACATGCAGGAATTAAACCTATGCATGAAATGCTTAGTGTCTTTTTTCACTCAAACAGCTCTTATATTAACTATTTGAAAACCAATTCGGAGTGCTAACAGCCTTTATTCACACTGCATTTGGTTTTCGATTCGAGTCTTGCATATTGACATTACGCTACAAGTTTGTACAAATGAAATTTCATGATTATTTTGCAGTGTTTGCTACTTGGCCACTTGTTTTGTGCAATTTGAACGCATTAAAGTTATAAAACACATGTGCATTAATTCACTCTGGACTTTTTCACTTGGTGTTTGCCGGTAAGAAACCTGTTCGGCCTGCTTTGATATGCTGTTGGAAAATGTCAAGTTGTGTGAATGTGTTTTATGAGAATGTCAAAATCGCAAAGAGCTGTTTGATGTGTATCATCACCCGACGATACCGGATCAAACAGGTAAACACCTGCGAGCCGTCATTGTGCAGGTATCTGTATCGCATTCTTCTGATATGATGTGAGATTAAAATGTGTCAGGCTGCAGACCAGATAAACAGACACATAATTGCAGTGTCTGCAGGCTTTTTTCTCTTCCTGACAGTTCCTCTTCCAAAAACACAACTGCTTAAATGTAATCAGTGGAGGAAGAGAAAAAAAAATCCTCAAAAGCCTTATTGTTGAATTTAACTTTTGTGGTTTAGAAACTGCCAGAGAGTTCCTAAACAAAGCAAACAGTATAATACAGCTGAATTTCTATCTGGCTCCAAGCACTGGAATATCAATAGAGCTGCCAATAGCAATACATTAGTTGAAGAGTTAATAGACTTGTGGGCAAGTATCGTACAACAACACAAGACGTTTGGCGTTCAAGGCTGTTCGGTAGGATTGTAGAGAGATATATGAGCTTTTGTTTGAAATAAAAGAACGATTTATGCTGCTTATTGGCAAATCAGTATTGCAAATCGCTCCCCTCTTTCAGGAATGCAAAAGCTCTTTTCCCTCATGCAAATGCAATATGCTTTCATCTTGTTTTGTTTTTTTCTCTCTCTCTCTCTTTCAAGCTGATTGCATGTGAAAAATGTTCCTGTGGCAATCGTGCATGTATGAATTACCAACTAGAGTTTTGCATTTTCTGAAGAAAGGGGTTGCTGACTGGCTCACCTAAAAAAAATTTTTTTGTCTCAGTCACACAGAGATTATTCAACTGTATTTTCCATACCTTGGCAGCATCATAAACGTCAGTCTCTTTATGAAAGTTGAAAGTTGTAGACTTTTTCTTCAGAAATAAGTGGGATTAATGACGCCAGCTGAAAAGTAAGAGCAAGTTGCATTTTGATGAGATATTCTCACAACAAGACCAGGAACATTATTTTGATTTTATGATGACTTCTGGAGTTATTTAAGGAGTAGTTCACTTTTAAAAAAACTTTTGCTGATAATTTACTCACCCCCATATCATCCAAGATGTCCACGTCTTTCTTTCTTCAGTCGAAAAGAAATGAAGGTTTTTGATGAAAACATTCCAGTATTTTCTCCATATAATGGACTTCAATGGGGTCCAAACGGTTCAAGGTTCAAATAAGAGTTTCAGTGCAGCTTCAAAGGGCTTTAAACGGACACCAGACGATGAATAAGGGTAATTTTGAACGTTTATTATCCAATGTTCAATTTTAAGTTCTGGAAATATGCGGGTTAATGCATTTATTCACCTGTAGTGTCTTTCCTGAAGTAGTGCTAGTCATGCGAGTGTCAGTAGAGGGCAGCAGAGATACTGAAGGGGCTGGTCTGAAGGTCTTATGTGTGTGTGTGTGTGTTTCTCCCGCACTTCACTTCATCTTCATCCGCAGCATAAGATCATCTCGAGAGCTCCTGCGACAGATCCTCTCCTTCACTCTTCTGCATTACAGACTCCGTGAACGGGACTCTGCGGGGTCGCGCGCTCGATGCTGCTCGTGCTCGCATGTTTGCGGAATCTGCAGGATTTGACTTTTCATTTCTCTGAACGGGATACAATGTAACAACCGCGACCGAGAGATGCACGACTTCTGTTAACCACAGCTGCGATACAATGGGGAAACTTCACTCAAAACATGGTGAGTTGTACATCTAGAAGTTACAAAATCGCAACATATTTGTGTTCTTATGTAAACGCGTATGTATATATGGACGATTATTCAGTGATGGGAACTGTTCTTTCTTTTAGGATGACTTTAGTCCTAAATATGTAATAGATTTAAATGTCTTCTAAATGTTAACGTTGTGTTGATTTATATGCACCAAAGGTAAAATTTCCCAGTGTGTAGGCTATTGTTGTTGTTAAGTTTCTTTTTGTTTTTATTGGAAATGTGAGGGAAAAGAGTTATATTTATGACAGAACAGCAGCATAATAAAAGTTTTACGTTCAGAAATGTCATTAATATAAGATTTTTTTACATATGAAAGTAGTGTCGCTACCAAATGACTGACTAAATTATCACTTGTGTAACTTAGGCTATTTCTCTAAAAACTGGAAAATGTAATTTCCGGTAATAATCCAGGACAACATAAATTGAACAGTTAGAAGACGTTTTAAATATTTAAATTTTAAAAAAAAATACATATCGTCCATATATGTCACGATATTGAACACATGCACGCTGTTGAAATACTTTTAATTATAAATAACGCTCTGCTTGTCTTTGCTGTTCGGATGCAGCTTGCAAACGTCGGGAAAATCCTGAGGGTGAGATTTACATTTGATGCAGTTTTCTTTTTATTGATAATACGAACTATTAAATGGCTTAGAACATTTCCCAATGCTTTTTCAAATCTATTTTCAGGGGACAGTTTTGTTGTGAATGGCTTTATTTCAAGAAGAGGAGTTGAAGAAGGCGAGAGATATGGCACCAATCAGAAAGATTACAAGGTAAGAAGCACCTGTTTTTTGTGTGTGTGTGTGCATTTGCTTCCTTTAAGCATCTGAAACCTTCTTTCCATCCATCTTTAGACCTGTCTCGCATATGCAGCGACCTTAAACTGAAATCAAACATCTAGACACTATCTCTGTGGGTCATACAAATAGCACTTTGCTCGGGACACTCGACTAATTTCAATTCAATTTCCAAAGAGTATGTAGTTTGCATGTTGCAAAGGTAACTCTGTGTTATTATAATAAGCAAGAATACACAGAACTAAGTTTTTTTTGTCTCTGTTGTTGAATGAAAGCAGTGCATTTTGCGATTGTTGTATATTTTTCCCTGTATCATAATGGGCTTGCTCAAGAATCTAGAGAAGAAGCAACTTGCGGTGAGCCGTTTGCCATCTCGCTGCCAAAGACCACATTCCCACTGACGAGAAATCATCATTACACCGACTGAAACGAACAGAACAGAGTGTGTGTTCTCAAGGCCGTGCAACGACATGTCGAGCTCCTTGTGATGACGAGAGCTGCTTTTGTTTTTGTCGTGTTTGGCAGTGGGACAGCTCCGCTGTGGTTGTTCCCCTGTGGGATTGATGGGTTTTGACAGCTCTTTCCCTGCGGTGGGACTGTCTGTGACATCAGCGCCGGGCAGACGGTTCGTGATTGACAACTGTATTAACTAACAGCCGACAGTCGCGGTTAGTCCTGGACGTACGGCAGCTCACACGCATAATGGCTGTGTGAACTGTTTCGAAATGTACAGTGACTTTTGGGAGTGTCAGTTTGTTGATGAGTAATTTCACTAATTGTGATCGGTTGAGGTTTCATCTCGTGCAAACCAAATTGTCTCTTATTATGCAGTTTAATTTATGCTCTTCTCCTCCACCTAAGCAGTTTGCTAGAGTTCTTTCTCTTTCTCCCATCACACAATACTGCAATTTTCTGACATTTTTCCTGACATATACTCGCCTAAAGGATTATTAGGAACACCTGTTCAATTATCTAATCAACCAATCACATGGCAGTAGCTTCAATTAAATGCATTTAGAGGTGTGGTCCTGGTCAAGACAATCTCCTGAACCCCAAACTGAATGTCAGAATGGGAAAGAAAGGTGATTTAAGCAATTTTGAGCGTGGCATGGTTGTTGGTGTCTGAGTATTTCACAATCTGCTCAGTTACTGGGATTTTCACACACAACCATTTCTAGGGTTTACAAAGAATGATGTGAAAAGGGAAAAACGTCCAGTATGCGGCAGTCCTGCGGGCCAAAATGCCTTGTAGATGCGAGAGGTCAGAGGAGAATGGGCCGACTGATTCAAGCGGATAGAAGAGCGACTTTGACTGAAATAACCACTCGTTACAACCGAGGTATGCAGTGAAGACACAACACACACAACCTTGAGGCGGATGGGCTACAACAGCAGAAGACCCCACCGGGTACCACTCATCTCCACTTAAAATAGGAAAAAGAGGCTACAATTTGCAAGAGCGCACCAAAATTGGACAGTTGAAGACTGGAAAAATGTCGCCTGGTCTGATGAGTCTCGATTTCTGTTGAGGCATTCAGATGGTAGAGTCGTAAACAGAATGAGAACATGGATCCATCATGCTTTGTTACCACTGTGCAGGCTGGTGGTGGTGGTGTAATGTTTTCTTGGCACACTTTAGGCCCCTTAGTGCCAATTGGGCATTGTTTAAATGCCACGGCCTACCAGCTGACCATGTCCATCCCTTTATGGCCACCATGTCCCCATCCTCTGGCTACTTCCAGCAGGATAATGCACCTAGATGCAAATCTAAAAATGGACAAATATTCCTAGGATATGAAACCAGCTATAACCAGTTTGTTTGATTCATTTTTTGTGAATGAGTTTATTCTGTGCATTTCGTTGAATCCCATTGAACCCATTGGGAATTGATTCATTGAAATGAACAGAAGCCGATGTGTCTCATTATCTCAGACTCTTTGCATTGCATCATTTCAATTAGCATCACGCTGAAGGACGGCATAGTATAAAACTAACTGATGATTAACCTGCCCTATTAGAAGCCTTATAAAAGTTGTTCCCTTCATGAATGGGAAAGTTATTTGGGAAAATTTGACAGCGATCTTTAGGGGAAACCACCGGCGGCGCAGGGTACGTCATATGTCATTAATGGGCCGGTCCAGGGTTTGATTTAATCTAAGTCTTGGCTCTGATTTGTGTTTTGTCAGTCATCAAGTACCTGAAAGAGTCTTTGAAACTGTGAGCAGGAGCACTTTTGATTGCTGATAAGACAAACTTGGTTTGTTTATTAAGGGTGGTTGAAGTGCAAGACGTCTGTATAATTAATGGCACTTTAGAGCTTTTGGTGCGGATCCGAGTCCAATTCAGGTCAGAGTTTGGTTAATAAAGGGGTTAACCTCTGGATCAAACCATCACTGAACTATCATGTTGCAGTTTAGATCAGTGTTGCCATCTTGCTTTTGGCATTTCATTGCTAATTAATCTTCAATGTTCCATAATGTGCATATTTATGTCTAAGCAAACAAAACAAATGCATGTGTGTTAGAACTAGGCGATCACGTTTCTCGGTCTAATCTGCCATTTGTGATTTTTTTTTTTAAACGTCATAATCACAGATTTGTGCTGCCATGTTTATTCTGCAGTGAACCTTGTTATTCAACATCTTGATGAGTTGCAGGGATAAAGAGTCATTGTTGTGTGTTTGATTGAAGGTTTTTTGGAGTTACCGCTACCATATTTTACTTCTAGTGATTGGCAGTTGCAGCAAGTAAGCTGTATACCTAGTATTACATGAGTAGTTCACCCAAAAATAAACATTTTGTCATCATTTACTCGCCCTCAAGTTGTTCCAAACCTGTAGTTTCTTTCTTCTGCTGAACACAAAAGAAGATATTTTGAAGAATATGGGCAACCAAACAGTTGTTGGACCCCATTGACTTTCCTAGTATGAAAAACAATACTATGGGGTCCATCAGCTGTTTGGTCACTGAAATTCTTTAAAATATCATCTTTTGTGTTCAGCAGAAGAAAGAAACTCGTATAGGTTTTGAGGGTGAGTAAATGATGACAAGATTTTCATTTTTGGGTGAACTATCCCTTTAAAGGAGTAGTTCGCTTTTTAAAAAACTTTTGCTGATAATTTACTCACCCCCATGTCATCCAAGATGTCCACGTCTTTCTTTCTTCAGTCGAAAAGAAATTAAGGTTTTTGATGAAAACATTCCAGGATTTTTCTCCATATAATGGACTTCAATGGGAACCAAACGGTTCAAGGTCCAAAAGACAGTTTCAGTGCAAACTGCAAACTGTCCAAAGGGCTTTAAACGATTCCAGACGATGAATAAGGGGGGTCTCATCAAGCGAAACGATCGCTCATTTAATAAATAAATAACAAAGTTTAAGTTTTAAAAGCTGAAATGCTCGCCTTGCTCTGTTCTGTGATGCGCATTCGTGACTCTCCTGTTCGAACTCGTTCATTAAAATGAATGAATCTCTTTTCATGTCATTTGGTTCATTCAACGAACGAAATGAACGAATTGACTCGAAAAAAAGATTCGTTCATTCGTTCATTTAAATTATCAGCAAAAGTTTTTTTTTTTTAAAGTGAGACAACAAATCCTTTAAATAATGGTATTCAGAATCAGAACAGAACAGGAATGAAAAATAGAAAACAATCGTAAACTATAGTGGCATTCATTATAAGCAACATTAAAAATGCAATTTGGCAAAAATTACACTTTTATTTAAACTGAAACTGCTGTCGTGTGGGAAATCCACTAGCATATTATATTCCGGAAAATATGTAGTTCTTATGACTTGTGCACATGACAGAGGTTGAGTAAATGATTACAAAATCTTAAATTTTGTAAAATTGCAGTATCTCAGCAAAGATGAGTCCACTGGGAAACACGGCTACTGGTCTCTTGAGTTTTAGGCTGGATAAAACAGCAAATTGAATGTTTAATGTGTGTAATGTATTGTATTTGAAGCCCCATCATGCTTTGAACATGGAAACGAGTTTGTTTATTTCTGGAACATCTCCGTTTTTCCTCGTAATATTGAGGGATGTTTGAGTTTATAATTGCGGTTGAGCTGGTGTAATTGTTTTCCAGACCGCATATAAAGAAAGTATATTTGTCTACATGACATTTCTCTTTGATGCTGAAATGAATCCATACATTTCAACACAGATTTGTTCTGTTGTTGCCATAATCTTCTCTGGTAGTCTGGGTCGTTTACGATTGGTTTATGATGCACAAGTGTAAGAAGAATCGAATGACGTCTCACCCCTAGGGATTGTTTGTCGAGCCGGTTGTAGCGTTTTATTGTCATTATAAGTGCGGTTTGACTTTGCACCTCAGAGCAGCTGTAATTGTGTCCTCTAAATGAACTGGAAAGAGATATCTCTACATGGACAGATGCTCGTGTCCGTGACAAACCAGAGTAGATATATATTGAGTTTGACACTCAATGTTCAAGGATCTCGTTAAGAATGACGTATTTCTGGATTACATCAAGTGAAGTATAAGAGTATTTTGAGTACTGTAGAGCTGCTTTATTGTAGAAACTTGTAATTGTAATTCTAATTGAAAGAGATACTGACACTGCTTTTTCATGTTTAATACTTTAATGCTGCTGCTTTGAAACAATCTAATGTATAAAGTGCAATATAAATAAACGTGACTTTACTGGAGTGTTGAATTGCAGAGCTGGTGCAAATGTTCAGATGCTTTCTGAACTACTCTTTTCTCACCTCTATTTCAGTTGTGTGTTCGTTTTTTTATTGAATGGAAAGCGCACAGCACAGTTACATATTAGGGCTGTGAAACGATTAATCGCATCCAACATAAAAGTTTGTGTTTACATATGTGTGTAGTGTGTATAATTATTTTGTAGATTTAAATTCACACATATGCATATATATATATATATGTATATATATGAAGAGTTCAGATGCAAAAGCCTCTAAGTGCCATTTAAAATTTTCTTCAAGAATG